GTGAGGTTGGTGGAAGTGAGCAGTTTCTCTGCACCGTGAAGCGTATGCACATCTCTGTCTGGACGTGCCCACAGTCTCTGAAACTCGTGCTTTGTTGGAATAATGGAATTCTTTGGTCCTTGGTTTTATGAAAGGCAGTATTGTCACAATCCTGTCAACGTAGACATTGGCAAATGACTTCAAGCTGGGACTAATGGCACAGGGACAAATTAAATACTAGATGGAAAACTCTACACCCTCCAAACTTCCCAGGGTCAACTTAATGAGCTCCAGCAGCAGGCCTGATGCTGGGTTGATGAGGTAAGGTCAAGCCACAGAGATACCAGAGCTGATGCTCAAAACTAGATTTCGGTTTCTCTGACTGCCATGCACACTACAAACATCGGAGGCAGATCTCCATGCTCATGGCTGATGAGTTGACTTTATCAACACTCTCTAGGGATGGACCAAATACCTTGACTTTAGCCTTGCTATAGCCCTGGACTACTGAAGTGTGAACAACTAAAAGCAATCATCATTTATAAAATTTAAGTCTAAATTCTGGTTGGTTGTATTAGATCCCAGACATGGCGGACCCACGGCAGATAAGCTCCGTGACTTATGCGCTATCCAAACAGCCCTGGGTAGACTGACTCAGCTGATGGTGTGTTCTGTATCTAGTTTGCCTTTGCCTTCCTAACTCCAGGTTAGTATGGCTTGACACACACAGTTCATCGATAAGACACTGAGGACACATGGGAATGCTGATTGTGTAACTAAAATTGACTTCAGATTGTCTACACAGTAGGACTCATATGTAAACTTTGTTAGCCTCTCTGAAGGAGAGCTGACCCCAGCCAGACTGGACATTTCCAAGTTATCCACAAGCAACCTGGGGCTGGAGCCAGGAACAGGGTCAGGAGCGGGAAATGCCATTTGTTCAGAACAAATGATGGACCAGCAGCCTTCCCTATGACTGTGTCTAAACCATGTGAATAGTACAAAGGGGGCTCCAGAAAACCTGTCCTTGGTCCATTCCTATGGCCAAAGACAATCACCAAGGTGTCTATCTGGTCCCTGCCACCATCAACTCAAGCAAACTCTTCAGATTAGCCATGAATTACAGACAGCATTGCGCCCATCAGCATGGCTTACGTTGCATGGAGGAAACAACCCGTATTACCCTTTTTTTTTTTTGCAACAAGCTTAAGGCTCTGTTCACAAACTCCATCAACTGCCACACAGTGAGAATTTACGGGGAGATCTTAAACTACGTATGTAGTTGCAAAGGTTGGAAAATTTACTGATCCTAATGGTAAGGCTTATTCACAAATTCAATACGTTTCCAAATTATACTTCAAACTCAGCGACTTCAAGGAAAAGAAAATTAACCTGCTCTCTGACAATATAAGAGCGTTAGATTCTAATGGAGGAAAAAAAAAGTTGGCACCAAACTAGAACGCTATTTTTTGAAAGAACAAGTGATATTCATGGAAAAGATTGCCTAAAACGCATATCCTAACTTATCGCAGAAATATAAAAGTTTATATTTTGAAAATATATACTGTATTAAAGTCTGTAAGCATTTCAACCAAAATTTGCAGAAATAACTAAGCAACACTTATCTACAACAAAAATATACATGCAAGACAATCCCAAATGGTTTCCCTTAAATATCTACAAAGGCAAAGTGTAGATTTTTAAAGATTATACAAAACCATTTACAGAGAATAAAACAAAATACTTAAGAAATCTCATTTAGAGTCTTAAATACTGTGTATATTAGTGAGAGTGTCTAGACTAATATATACACCAGATCTAAGTTATCTGAGTACAGAAACACAAAAGAGAAGCAATTCTGCGTTTTAAATATTCACTTAAGAAGATCTGAAGATCTGAAGTTTCTATTTGTTTCTCTTTGTTAAAAAATTTCCACAGAAACTGGATTGGAAAATTGCATGGATGTGACTAAATTCCAAATTAAAAAAAGTTTACAAAATCTTTTAAACCAACAATTAATAATGGGAAATGCAATTCAGCATTCAGTCAAGGCTATTTTTAAATGTGGGTATTCAGAGATACAGTTGCATTGTTCAAAGTCTATTGTGATTATTATTTCTCCATCTTCTTACTAAACTTCATACGGGGAAAAAAACATAGTTTCATGCTTCAGAGAGAACATTTCCTAGTTTAATCTATACCAAACAAAGAAAATAGTTTAAATCAATTCTCAACTACTTTCTCACAGTTATCCAATTTCATCTTAACAAGTAATTTTGACAGTTTTTACCCACAGACATTATTATTTCTATGCTGGAAGGGACATGTGAGTATATCAGTATTGGGGTGTGGCTTCCAAATGGCGAGGAGGTCTGACCACCTTAACAAAAGTTCTTCAGAAAGTCCTCTTCGTATGGGGCTGTTAACTCTGGCGGTTCCTCTACAAGCTGCTGGGAGTGAACCACCCTCAGGAGCTGAGGCAGAGAGGGAAGGGGAGTTCTCATGCACTGCTAAGAGAATGGAGAGGAGAGGGTTGCTGGAAAGGTCCTTGACTAAAGAGGTGCCCTCGACTTCCCACCCAGAGCTGTTCTTCCAAACCCAAAGGTAATTCTGGGATGGGGCTGCCAAGACCAGCCACAATTCCTCAAACACCTTCCCAGGCTCTAGGGAGTGATATATGGGGTGGGAACGAACAAGGGTAGAGAGAGGGAGAAAGGCACCGATATGGAAGATGGAAACTGAAAGTCTGAGCCCTATCTCAAGAAAGCTACAGGGCAAACCCTGACACAACCACAGGTCTGGTGTTTTCCATCCCAGATGGACTGGCTGTAAGTTACCTGCATTTCACCTGGACACTGTCAAAACAACTACCCAGACAGTGAAAAAGTCAGTGGTTCTGTCTACCCTGAAGCAAACAGATTGCACCTGCTTTTGGCCCAATGGGTGGAATACATTTATCTAACTGACCGTATACAGAAACCAAAATACAGACTGTCTTTTAAAATGCCCCCTGTTATGCCCAGAACTTACAAATCAATGGCACGAATTCCACCTTAGAAATGGTTTTGCATTCCTACCTTAGTCATCAGAGATCACTGAAATGGTTACAGGTTTAGATTTGATGATACATCCAAAGCTAAGATATTTCTGGTTCTCTCGGCAGGAAACAAAGGTGAACATTGATCAAAAGGAATTTCTAAACATCCCCTTCCATCTCCAGCCAGAATCCTGATACCACTTCCATAGATGTTGAATATGACTGCCCCCAACCAGACGCTGAACAGACACAAGGGGCTCTTTCTACAGAGGACTCAGCAGTACACTATCTGCCACGACGCACAAGAACAGCGTTTGTCTAAGCGTTGTGGAAAGCGCACATTTGCTTGCTCAGAGGAGGAGACAAAACCCAGGTGGAACTGTGACAACAGGCGTTTGGGTGAAAGCAGGTGTTTCCCTGTAGAAATCCCCTGTAGTACAGGTCTGCAGTGCCTACAGGATCCTGCATGGACAAGGGGTAGGGTACACAGGACTTCAATTCCATCTTCCTCGGCCGGATTCCACCAGGGTAGCTGTCCCCTCCGGCTCCCCATGGCCAGGACGGCACAGCCTGGAGCAGAAGGGGGGAGAAGAGGGGCGGTTTCCTCTTCTTCTCGATGCTCACGAACTCTACAGGAGAGAGGCTTTCCATAGAGGGAACCAAGGGGCATCCTAAGGACCAGAAGTCCAGATAAACTTGACAGTCACATCTCTAGCTCTAGTGGAGACACTCAACCTGTTCTTTCAAACTCAAAGTTCAGGGCCACGAATTCCCTCCACCTGTCCTGCCAAGTGCACCTGGTCACCTGTACAAGAGGATGAAGGACCAGAGGGAGAGATGAAGAAGTGTAACCGTGATGCCCCTCCTCCCCGCCCACCTCCCTCTGCCAGCTATGCCCACCTCCTGCTGCCTTACTCCCCTCTCTATGAGGAGGAGCCAAGGGACGCAGACACCTCACAGGAAAAGAGAAGAAAAGGAAGCAAAGGGCCTCCGGGAATACTCAGAGGTTGCGCTAGAAGTGGGAAAATCCGCCATCACGAGAATCTAACTTTCTCTGGGTGCTGGACCCACAGCAGGTGTAAGCCTCACACAGAACACGCCCCTTCCACGTCTCTGTTCTAATCTTGACGTTTTTACCTTTCTCCTCACCAACCAAAACCTCACCCAAAACCCTTCCCTGTCCACAGCTGATCCAGGGACTTGAGACTGACCGTCTGAACACAGCTGCAGCCCAGGACACCAGGGCAAGGAGACCTCCTCCCTGGTCATTGCTCCCTTATGTGAGTAAACAACTAGAAAAAAGATGGGTCATTCAGGCTTCTCGTGGCAAAAAGATTCAGACCTTCCAGAGACAGCGCAGCAGAGCGGGGACTCTTCCCCACCCCACTGGAAGGCCACCACCAGAAATCACTGACCACGTGGAAGAAATGAACTCCAAAACCCAAGTTTAGTCATCTGTCTCAAAGAAAAGTCCTACTCTAGACAATATGCTATCCCCAGGTAGGGCCTATGCCCCACCCATTCCCGATGTCACACAATTAGGGACTGGGGTCTGTTTCAGGACCATTTATCGCCTTAAAGGTGGCAGAGTGAAGAGAAAACTCTCCCACGATCTCTCCTAAGGATAAGCCTAAACAACTTGTATTATATTATAACAGCTGAGAACCGTTTGACACATCGAGGATTTGGTGTAGAGCTATTCCTTTTTATCCACAGAAATCCATCCGTCTTCATCTCCCTGAATTTTATTTCTAGGTGGTTCATCGCTAGAATGCACCAAACAGCAAGAACCTTGTATGGGATTTGGTCCAGGGCAGTATGAAAATAGTTATCTGTGTGAACAACAGATATCACAATATATAAACAAAAATAAATAAATAAAATAAGTCCGATTAAAGAAAAAACATTTTCCTAGTAGTTCATGTTTTTGCAAAACTAGCTTTACATATAATACACATAAATTATCAGAATTTCCACTTACATTGTTTTAAAAATATATATTTAACAAAACATTTCTAAATGTACAATATCTGGGTTTGTAAATCACTCAATTGGGTTTTGAGACCAAGCCCTAATAGTCACACAGGTGTGCGTCGGAGAGGAGACTGAAGCTGGGTGTACGCCACCGTTTTGCTCATTGGCCTGCAAACTCCCTAAGGTTGACCATCCCCCGACACCCAATCCGAACGTAACCAGAGAGCAAAGACAGCCAAGTCTCCAAATCAGAGGCACTGTGTAGACACAGCCTGAGTCAGAAGGACGGGGGAAGTGGCCTTCCCCTTCCTAGACCGTGACGGTGCATTTCAGCAAGTGGGGCAAGGACGGCGGTGCCCGGCAGAGCTCTGGGAAGACACAGCCCTCGAGAGCCCTCTGGCCAGGCGGGGACATGGGGGAGGCCAAGTGTGCTGCGTTTCCCATCTGTGACACAAAATCAAACCCATGAGGAGGAACCAAACGACACGAGGAATGGACACAGCCCTAGGCATAAAGAGACACCGTGACAAACTCCTTGGCCGGGGCGGACACGGGCTCCGCTTCCCGAAACACAGGGCAGAGCTGGAGGTCAGGTGCCCTTGAGCACTGGGGCGGCCGGGCCGGGGCCCTTCAGACTTCGTAAATTTTGTCCTGCAGGTAGCTGAACAGGGAGTCCAGGCCTTTGGAGGAGCTCCAGAGCTGCTTGAGCATGAGGCATTCCTTCTCGTTCACGTCTTCAAGCACCGATTTCAAGAAGCTCCGAACGAGGCATTTGGACTCTTCCAACACCTGCAGGGAAAGGTACGAGCCTGGTTAGCCGGGCCCTGGGGCTTTTGCTCCAGAACCAGGTACCGAGCCCACGAGGCCCTGGCCAATCCCCGACATGCAAAGCCAGAGCAGGCTGCCTCCTTTAGCCTGGGCCTTCCCGGCCCACCTTGCCGGCACTGCCAGGAAAGGTCCCGGATGCGTCAATGTGTTGAGTCCTCGGTCCCTGGGGCGGCGGATGGGACCCATGTTACCCCAGACCACGAGAGCCTTGTCTTTTACCCAAGGGTGACAACAAACAGTGTCCTTTTCTATAGGTGTCATGAAAAGTTTAGCTTTAACCTTTTCACACCTCATGTTCATTATCTTTTGGGAACAAGGACACCAAACCCAAGGATCACTAGGAACACAGACCGACACGGTGAAATGAATGAATGGCTGTCGAAGATGCCACCGACCGGCCCAACAGCAATGCTCATGCGCAGGCCATATGGTGGTAATCACTGCGGTAACAAGTATTAGTAATAATCGCAGCAATCATAATAATAAAAATTATAGTAATAAGTAACAATCACAGCAATCTAAGTAATAATAATTATAGTAGTGACCAATAATCACAGCAATCATAGTAATAATTACTGTAGTAATGAGTAATAACCATAGTAATCATGGTAATAATAATCACAGGAATGAGCAAAAATCATAGCAATAGTAATAATAATCATAGTAATGAGAAATAATAGTAACAATAATCATAGTGAGCAATAATCATAGTAATAATAGTAATAATAATGATAGTAATGAGTAATAATCATTGCAGTAATAATAGTAATAACAACAATGCTACTACGATGCCCATTAACCAACAGGCTCTACGAGAAGTACTTCTCTCTGTGAGCAGGCAGCATTTTCATCCCCACGTTACAGACGGAGAACCCGAAGCTCGATGAAGTGCTGTGGCCCAGGGCTGCCTGGCTACTCGGTGGCGGCTGTGGCAGGGAATCCGAGGTCTGGCTGGTTCCCGCTGGCAGAGGCGAGGCCAGAGCCGAGGCCTCTGAGCATCCTTCGCTGGCCTCCCCCAGCCTCTCCCAGAACTCCCTCAGATGGAAAGAGGCCAGACTGGGAGGGCTGGAGGCTGCAGGGGAGGGGTGGGGCTGCCAAGTCTCCCTGGGAACGTCTCGTCAGAGCACCGCCTCCCCGGGGCCACGGGCGCGCTCTGTGGGGGTGGGCTCCTCTCTTAGGAAACCCGCCCAAAGCTCCTGAATTCCCAACTGTTGACAGCAGAGACCTCCTTGCGGTAGTTCTTGTCCTAAGAGCCTGCCCCCTCGGGCACGCCCTCCACTGCTGGTCTCACCCCAATGTCTCTCCACTGCCACCGGGGAGACCAAACCCCTCCCTGCAGCTCCAGGCCCGTCTCCCACCTGCCTTCCAGCTGCCCCGTCCCTGGTGTCCCCTGTGCCAACAGACCACGCGCCGCTGCCAGCGCTCCCTGTGGACTTCCGACGTCTGCGCCCTCACTCTCGCTGTCCCCTCTGCCTAGAACTTCCACCTGCCTCTCCGTGAAGCCGACCCAGGTGATCAGCCACCCCTTTGCCCGGGACTGCAGGGTTTCCTGGGACGCAGGATTTCCAGCACTGAAACCAGGAAAGTCCCCAGTAAAGTAGGACAGGTTGGTCTTCCCAGCCATTAGGAAGACGGAAAACGTATCCACGGGAGGAGATGAGCAAAGCACAGAGGCCCAGGCCTTCTTCCCCCGAAGCCCCTGTCTGGGCTCTGGGACTGGCCCCTTCTCCACCTTTCCACAGGAGAGTTCCCTACTGTGCTCAGAGTGACTGTCAGGAGATAAAATCAACACTTAATTAAAAGCCAGCGCCTCTGTGGAGGTATTATTTATTTATCTACTTTCAACGCGCCTTCACAGCCAAATGGTGATGTTTAAACGTGCCCAGCGCTCGGTGGAGAGGAGACGAGACATGCGGGGACAGCATGCTCTCTCCCGCCAGTCACCCCTGGGCCGGGTCAACACTTCTGTCCTTAGTTGTCTCTGCTTCCCGCTTCTTTGAAAGCTACAGGTGTCTGTGCTCTCGTGTGTGGTCAGCACTTGCTTTAAAGCGGTGACTCGGACCCAGAGCACAGCTCTCTCCCGCGAGTTCCCCTGCTGGAGGGGATGGAGGATACGTAAGGACCTCCCTGCCTCCCTCCGGGTTAAGCTGTCCCTACGGAGAAGAGGCGTGTGCTGAAGCGCAAAGGGTCTTTTATTTATTTCCTGCGTGACCTCTGACAGGTCAACCAGTCCCTCTGCACCTTGCTGTCCTCATCTATAAAACGGGCCTATGACAGGGATGGGCACATGGGAGGCGGGAACTCACCACGGCGCTGCAGGACGCCATCTCCTTGACCCGAAGCATGACCTCCTGGCTGAACGTGGTGGGCCAGAAGACCTGCGACACCAGCCCCCTGCTGCACGCCTCCTGGGCAGTGAGCTTCCGCCCGCAGAACAGCATCTCGTTGGCCTGAAAAAGCAAAGGCGGGGGAGGCTGAGGGCGCACAGCTCTGCCCACGTCCGTTAGCCCGGGCTGGGCTTGCCGCGTGCAGCTGCCCCTGCTCGCCAAGGCGAGACTCTTGGTCTGGGGTCTGATAAGCTTTGGGAATGGCATGCAAACATCTGGCTCTAGGCGCATTTTTCTGAGCAGAGGGTCCACAGCTTTCATTAAATTCTCCAAAGGAGCCACGTATCTACTGTGGCTCTGTCTGCCCAACACCCCTCCCCACTTGTGGTGGAAGACCTTATGGCGGCCATGCATCCTGGGCTGGGCACATTTCGTTGCCGGTGACCCGGCTGTGACAACAGGTCTAGGGAAGGAGAGATGCTCTACCCTAAATAATAAAGCTCTTCTGTGGAGTTTCCAGCTGCAGGCGTCGGGGAGAAGTCTTTCTCCCTCTCTGGTTGCAGGTTAATGTCAGCGAGCCCATGAGGGGCCGCCCATGGCTGTGTCCCTGCTCTGAGGAAAGGTGGGTCCACAAGAAAAAAAGAAAGAGAGAGAGAGAGGGAGAGAGAGAGAGGGGGAGGGAGAGACAGAGAGAGAGAAACAGAGAAAGAGAGAAAGAGAGAGGGGTGATGGTGCTTGAGTTCCTGGGCCCCGTCTCTCCAAGAGAAGTTCCACTTCTGGAACTTCTGGACTTTCCCACTGGGGGAACCACTAAGATCTTTATTTATTTCTTAAACAAAATTAAACCAGTTAAATTGTTTCCATCTTTGGCCACTGAAGGTCCTGAATAGCAGCAACACCAGGGCAGAGAGGCGCATCTCTCCCCGTGGCACAGGGCTGGGCACAGGCTCTGCCCAGTCGCAAAGGGCACAAAGCCGCCTTCCTCGGGCTCTCGAGACATGGGCAGCCTCTGCATCCCACTCCCCAGAGAATTTTCTGTTGCTTTGAGATTTGCAGCTGTCATCCGTGGGCCAGGACGAGCTGCATGGACAAGGTCCTGGGTGCAGGCAGGGCAGCCAACTTAGACAGGTGACCCTCGCGCTGAGAATTAGTGTGTAACAGTCACGTCCATGTGATGGGGTCCTCGAATCCCCGCCTCCTCCACGTGGCCAACAGCGTGTCCCTGCCTGCCTCCATCTGTCCCCCACTCTTCCCTCCCCACCCTGGGTGCTGGCTCCTCTTGGGTTGGTGCTGAAATGCCAAGCACTCTCGGGCCTCCAGATCCACACGTACGTCCCCATCCTGGGGTTCCGGTTGTCACTGACGGGTCATGGTGACCCAGAGGACAATCTCTCGTGCCAGAGTCAAGAAAGGCATCAGGTCAAGGATAAATACACAGCGCGCGTTTGGTTACAGGTTTGAACACAATGTACGTCCCCAGGCTTCCTGAGAAACAACCTCGTCTGGGGAAGTGGAAAGGAAACGAATGAACCAGTAGAAGGAGCCGGACACGACTCCGTCAGCAAGAAGGAAAGAAGGACCTGTCTCCAACAGCGACATTCTCGCTGCTTCAGAAATGACTGAAACGAGAGAGGAAGGCAGAGATAAGACTGTACGATTTTAACATCTGTGGCGACCACGAAAGACAGGGAGGAACCGGAGGGGAATGGAAGGGGTGTGGGCAGATTGAAAGCGTCTGCTTCCTGGGCTTGGCCTGTGCCCGCCTGACTTTCCTGCCATCGGTGAGATGGAGCAGCCTACGGTGGCCCAGAGTTCCTGGGTCCACGTGGCCTCATCTGTCCCACCTGCCAAACAGAGAAAGTGGGACTTTCGGAGGTGATCGGGTCATGAGGGTAGAGCCCTCATGCGGGGGGGGGAGGGGGGGGAGCGGGGGTCGTGTCCTTATAAAAGAGGCGAGGGGGCTAGCCGGCCCCACCCGCCCCCTTCTGCCAGGGGAGGACGCAGGCGAAGGCAGCGCCTCTGAAGCAGAGAGCGGCCTCCCCAGCAAGGCCTGTGCCTTGACCCTTGCACTTCTCAGCCTCCAGAAACGTGAGCAATAAATTGCCATTGTTTATAAATTCGCCAGTCTAAGGTGTTTTGTCGCGGCAGCCTGAATGGATTAAGACAGGCCACAAACAAACGCTAAGCCACGCTGAGGAGCTCAGACTCAACGCAGAAGACCCACGAAAGGGCTCTGAAAGAGACTAACAGAGATAAATTATTGGAGGGTCACGGAGACCCCCACCAAGTGGTGCTGGAGACGTCACGGAATGAGAGGGTCAAAGAAGGAGTTTGCAGCAGAGAGCAAGACGACAACATGGGTCAACTATGGGCCCACTGGGGTTAACAAACAGGAGGTCACGGGTGTCCCCTGCTATAGAACGATGGCAGTTCTTTTTCTTTCCTGCCAGGTGAGAACACCTACATCCACACATGTGGGCGCTGGGACTTCAGAACCCTGGAGTCTCTAGTTTGGAGGAGTGGAAGGTACCACGTCTGCTCACTCCCCTTCTCGCGGGGACAAGCAGTTACAAGGAGTTGCAAGTTTTGCTCAAACGAACAGCAGCCGCTCCTGTGAGTCCTTGGGGCAGGCATGCACAAGAACGTCTGACGCCACACTCTGCTCTGAAGGCAAACCTCTAAGATAACAAGCAAGGACTTCAGAAAGGAACCTGGGATAGGCAGACAGACATCAGTGACCAGTCACCACGTGGGAGAGGCAGGTTAACAGGAGGAAAGTCAAGATTTCAACAAAAAAAAATAAAACCCAAGTAGCACAAAATCCTGAGAAAACCTAAACTCAAGACAAGTCCAGACACTTCGATGCCAGAGGTCACTGAGAATAGAATGGCATCTTTGCATCCTTAGAAAGAAAGCTGTGAGTCTCACCGGGAGAAGTAGCAGTTGGCCACATCTGCTCGGATGAACCTGGATTCAGATCCACCTGGACCAACTCCTTGGCAGGTGCGAGGCCCCAGGTGAGGCCTTTGTTCGCACAGAAAGGCTTCCAGGCCACCCCTCGGACGCTGCGTCCCTGTAGTGCCCTCTGCAGAGAACTTAAGGGTGCCATCCAGGAGCCCAAGGACGCAGTGACAAAGGGAATTCTTGGGTGAGGCGGGGCAGGCTGTCACTGGTGAGAACCAATAAAACTAACAAACTCGCTCTAGAGCTAAGAAAATAACATAAACAGAGTTTGGTCACTAACGCCTGACCGTGGGCAAGTCACTTAACCTCACAACACCCCAATTTTTCTGCCGTCTGAGAGGCAACGGCAGCGCTGAGCTCCCGGCACGAGGCGCGGCTACACCGCTGGCGCTCAGGGCAGGGCTGGGAACGTGGGCTGTTTATATGGTGGTCGGTGGTGTCATTTTCAAAAAGGAGCAAGGAAGAATATTCAGGAGCAGAAGGGACGCTACTTATCAACCCAGCTGCCGTCGTGAAAGCAGGACTTAGAGACGATCCAAGCGGCCCGCAGGCCTCATGAAGACCACGGCAATGGAACCGTGGAGGGAGGGAAGGCGGAACCCCGGCCTGAAGCCCTCTCTGCCCTTCGCAAAGGGAACCCCTAGCAACTGTCTGGCCCGGTGCCCACGATCGCAGTGCTAAGAATGTGCACGGCCTGCCCTAGGGTGACCGGAGGTAAGGTTAAAGGTGGGGTGTTTACTTTCCAGTAAAAATGAGAAGCAAAAAGAAACATCCTGGAGTCTGTTCCAAAAAAGGGACAGTTGGCAAGAGCCGTGGGCCACAGTGGGCCGGAAGGAGCGTCTCTGCAGGGCCCGGGGAGGCAGGGGCTCAGCCTCTCTGGGGGCTGTGTGGTGCGGGGTCCTGTTGCCTGGGTCGTGCTTCTCCGGCAGTTTTGTGAGGTCTCCAGTGAACGACAGAGATGCCCCCAGCACATCCTGGGCAGACCTCGCCGAAGCCTGCACTGCGTGGGAGTCCAGCACCCGCCCTGGTGTGCGAGGCCCACGGGTCCCGGCCCTGCTCGCCACCTCTCGGCCCTCCCACCGCCCTCATCGGTCCCCGGCCAGGCACGCTGCTGCCTCACGTCCCAAGGCCTGCCAGGCCCAGACCCCACTCAGTCCTTCCACCTATGTGTCCCCTGCCCGGCACTCTCGAGTCCATGTTCAAGTGTCACCTCCTCAGAGGGGTCCTCCCTACACACAGTGAGACCCCGGCCCAAGATGCTGAGCCGGGGAACAGGAGACCTGGGGAGAGAACTCGTCTTTCTAACCACCCCCAAGCCTCTGGCGGGTGCGCAGAGCCTGGCACTTAGTGGCTTCTAAGGATTCGAAGGAAGCTGACCAGCTCCCTGTCCAGAGGAGAGGGGTGGGAAGGAGGGGACCCCCTGAGAACCTTCTGAGACCCCGGCTCAGACCTGAGTTCAGAGTTTGTGGCTAGTGCCAGCCCAGGCTGGTCTGAACGTCTGCGGGAAAGGCCCGTGAGCCGTGGCGGAGGCCCGGATGCAGCAGAATTGCCTCCTCACACCCACTCAGACCAGCTACACCTCTGAGCCCCTCTCTGGTCCCAACAGCACCAATCTCAGACGTGCCCTTCAGATGCGGGAGCTATTTAATAACAGGCTGGGTTAAGAGTACAGACCGTGGAACCACAGTTGGTGTTCAAATCCCACCACTGCCATTACCACTGTGTGACTTTAGACAACTCACTTCGCCTCTCTGAGCCTCAGTCTCTGCATCTGCAAAATGGGGGTCATGGCTGTCCTACCTCACAGCGTTGTGATGAAGATGGGCTGAGTTAACACGGCCCAGCCAGTGCTAAGCGCCGTCATCACTACCCTCCCCGCCCAGACTGCAGAATCTGACCCCAGCCTACCGTGGACCCCCCACCTCCATCGACACCAGCTCTGCGGGCTGACTCACCCAGTGACAAGGCAAGCTCCTTAACTTCTCTGAGTCCAGCCTTCCATGAGCAAGACGGAATCACAGGTTTCCGCACGGGGTGGAGGCTGCTTTGTGAGCACCAAAATCTGTTCCCTCTTCTCCCTGCACACGCGGCTAGACTGCATCCCGGCCTCCCTCGTGCGTGCGTGCGTGCGGCCACGCGACTGAGTCGTGGCTAATGACGTGCGTGGAGTGACGGTGCCCCTCGCGGGCCCGGCCTGCAAAGACCTCTGGGAGAATCCAGCTCTCTCCTCCTGCACCGGCCGGACGTGGAGGCAGATTTGCCGGAGGGGAGACACCTGGGCCCCCGTCCGTGCAGGCGGCCCCTACGCCTACGCTGGACTACGGAAGACTGAGACGGAAATCTTTGTGGTGTAGACCACGGAGATCGTGGGTTATTTGTTACAGCGCACAGCCTACCCTAACGCACACCCTTACCGGTTGTCATGAGGAATACATGAGACATTATGCAAAGTGCTTGAAGTTAAGTGCTTGGCACATAAATACACATCATCTTCATCTTCTTAGGCTCGGCTGCGACACCCGGCACTGACAGCGTGGAGGCTCTGAGGCAGCCCGGCCTCTGGGGAGGCTGAGGAAGCTGAGACAGACCCCCAGGACGGGGACAGGCACAAATCCATGCATCAGCGCAGGAAGCCGCCTGGGAAGCAGGAGACTTACCAGCGCCACGCCCAGGATCTGGGGGAAGGTGTACGAAGAACAGCCGGCGGGCGTGAGGCGGATGGTGGCGTACGGCGTCTGGAACCAGGCCTTCTCGCTGGCCCACACGATGTCGCAGAGGGGCAGGATGGAGGCGCCCAGGCCCAGGGCCGGCCCGTTGATGGCCACCACAATGGGCTTCTTAAACTGGATGAAGGCCTTCACAAAGTCCCTGGGAGGAGAGACAAGACCCTCTTTTAACAGGGGCCCGCAGCCCGTGGGTACACCCCTGATTCTCCCAGGTGCCACAATGCACCCTCATGTTGTCAGAGGAGGGCAGGTGCCAGCCAAAGGCCTCACTACCCCAGATACTGAGCCACGGGCTGCCCGATTTTCAGAGGTATATTGAGGGGGTGGCTACACGTCCTGGTCTGCCCAGACTGTCCCAGTGCATCCCAGCGTCCCGGCGACGCACCCACTCACCACCTCCTAACACTCCCAAAAGCCGTGGCTCGGACGGGAAGTTATACGGACACCCTAGATATTGACAAAATTGTATACATCCTAAGGAAGACAACCTGACTGTTAAGGCACAGAACTAGAAAAAAAACAGCACCAAAAGGAGGGTGTTACAGGGAGGCATGTTTCAATTCAAAGAGAGAAGGAAGGTGGAATGGGGTGGTGGCTTTGGGAGGCATGAATTCCTCGTTCTTATAGGTATCCTAACTCTAGCTCTGTGATCACTCTGGGTGATACTGCAGAGGGAATACAAGCTTCAGACAGGGGGCACAGGTTGGGATTGATGACATTTAAAACTTCTTGCAATGCTAGGATGGTCTGATTCTGAATTACCTGCAGGGATACCAGACTCATCAAAATAGTTCTTAAATGACCACAAGGGCTATGTGCTAGGATGGCTTTGACTAAAATTAAGGAAGGATAATGGACTCCCTTGTGGGTGTAAGACTTCTAAACACGTGGCTATGGGTTTGGACAGTATCTCCTACTCCCTGCCCTTCTGCACCAAGCAAGGTTACAGCACGCATCTTTACCTAGTGAGCAAAGCAATCAGGCAATAACTTCTATCTCCTTTGCCTTCGAATGCTTTTTGCCTCTTCCCTAGTTGCTATGTAAGGTCTATAAAATTTTAATATTCATCTGGACAAGGAGAAAAGATCCGGATGTTAGTAAAGCCTGTATCCTTCACTGTTCTCAGCTGGAAGGTTGGAAATTACCAAGAACTCACAAGAATAAAATCCAAAGGCCCATGACCTAGATCTGACCTTGGTCTACCTTGGCTTACTTCTCCAGGCTTCTCTCACCTCACTGTCGCCTTTACCCACTGTGCATGAGCCACACAGACCTCTGAGAGTTCTTAGAAAACACCGTTATCACAATTTGCAATAACCCTCACTAATTATTCACTTGCTTGCTCATTTTTGGATTCTGCTTCCCCTTTAGTTCCTTAAGGACACCCACAGGTCTAGGGCACCACGTGGGCCCTGCTTGGCCTCCATCAGTGTTGGAATTAGTGCTCGGTAAATAGTTGTTGAATAAATACACACATCTCCCAGAACAAGGCCAGAGGCATGGCAATGGCAAACCAGCTCCTCACCACCTGTTTTCCTGAGGTCTAGGTCTACCGGGCGACCACATTTTGCAGCCTCCCCTGCAGCTGGCCGTGGACAAGTCACGGTGCTGCCCAAATGGGATGTGAGTAGAAACCACATGCACCACTTCCAGGTGCACAAACCTCCCACCGTGCAGTCCTCCAAGCCTGTTCATCTTGATAAGCATGGCAGTCTTAGAAGACACGGCTGAGCCACAAGATGGAAGGAGTCTGGGTTCCCAAGTCACTACTGGGAGGACAGCCATGGGCTGATCGGTCCTGTCTGTCTTAGGTTTACACATGTAAGAAGTACATTTCTATCGCAATCAAGCCATATTTGGGGTTTATTTGTTACAGCAGCTAATACTTAACTAATACAAATGTCAAGCTGATTTATCCCTTCTCAATTGATACTGTTCCTCACCGCAACTCTTATCAAAAGATGTGAGTGTCACAGTGATATGTTGGGATCAGATTCAACTGTGAGAAGACTGTTTAATATTCCTTTGGCCCAGACTGGAGGCAACACTTTGCCTGCGATGATGGCGTTACCTCAGTTACTGCTGGCCCCACTGCAGCAGACCCCAAAGAGACACTGCTTCAAAGAGGGAGTCCTCGCACCTGGATGCTCTGACGCCTGGTCTTCCAGTGGCCCATCTCCTGGCTTCACTTCCTGACCTCATGGTTAGTTTCAGCTCAGGTCCCTGGCTATTGAAAGTGCTTTTTACCAAATGCAATTCAGAGTCTGCAGGGGACATGAGGATTCTTTGTAGGAACCACAGAACCCCAGGGTTTGGGTGATTTTTGTCAAACATCCCATTCTTGAGTGCCTTCATACAATTCTGGAATCTTGGATCTCAGAGCTGGGAGGGACTTTAAGACTCCTAGAGCCATGCCTTCCTCTCGGTACAGAATCCCCTCTATCACATCCTGAGGATGCGCCATCCTGTCTTTGTTGAATGCATGCAATAAAGGAGGGTCCATGCCTATGAAGACAGCCTCTCTGCTGCAGCCTCCCATGGGCCTCTCTGGTACTCCTATTACCTGGGCTCTGTCCACCACACAACAGCCCTTCAGGGATGGGCTGCAGAATTGACCACACCCCTCAAGACTTTCCAGAGCCTTCCCCATTGAGGACACCAGAGCCTTTGGCTCTGTGGTTTCCAACCTGAGCTTTGCACAAGGGAATCAGGGACCCCCTGCCCAGGAGGGCAGAGAGGACCAAGAGTGTAGAGCTTCGACCCTTCCCCCAAGCCCGTCCTGTTTCATTCCAATCTGCCTCTCATTTCATTTCCTTGATATAATAATGTGATGCGAAGCGTCCCCCCCACCATCCTTTTTCTCTCACTTCAGGCAGTAGATCTCTATCGCAAGGAGCCAGACAGCAAACAGGATATTGAGTTACAGGCCCTGTGGCTCAAGTATCTGATCCCGACTGCAGTGGCCGGGCTGCACTTGGGAGATTGTCCCCGTCCTCCCCAGCATCCATGGCCACCAGGCTGACCCGGCCCCTGCAGCCTCCTCTGCTCAACCCGAGCCTTGTGGCTTCTGCCCGATCACGCCGCTGGGCTGCTCCAGCGTGGCAGAGGAGCAGGAACTTCAGAGTCTGAAAGACTCGGGTCAAGTCTCAACTCTGTCCCTAACTAGTTGGTAAGATCTTGGACAAGATGCCTGATGTCCGGAGCCTCATTTTCTCCCTCTGTGAAGTGCAAAAGCCAATGATGTCTCCCCATATATGGGGCTGAATGAGAACTAAAGGATGACAGTCCACAGTGCCCGACACAGGGAGAACACGGTCCCTGCTGCTCTTGCAGGTAATGCGTCTGCCGGGAAGGGCGGACATAGCTTCCACTGGATTCTCACAGTGACCTGGGATTCATTCTTCTAGCCCAAGGGAGATTCAGAAACAAAATTTTGCTCGCAGGGATGTGTGGATTCCCCTGCAGCAACTGACATACCTTTTGTGACCCACTTAGTCACCTACTCTCTTTAATCAGAGCCAAGGAGGGCAGCCCTGCTACTGCCAAAGCTCAGAGCCGAGCCAGCCAATACGGGGCCTGCAGGGACCAGATGCCCACAGTGGCTGCCACTCTGTCTCTGGGAGCCCACTCCATGCTCAGACTCAGCTTAGGTAGAACTCATGGGCGGAAGTAATGGCAGTAGTGACAACAATAATTCCTTCTTATTCTAAGAGCTCATTATCGCCAGGAATAGTCCAAGCATTGCACATGGGGTATCTGATTACTCCTTGGCCTACCAGCCCACCACTGAGAATAGCACCGTCACTTTGATTGTTCCCATTCTCCAGATGAGCTAATAAGGCCAGGGAGACCAGTGACGTGCCCAAGGCTGCACCACTAGCAGGTGCAGAGGTGGCTTTGGGCTCTGGCAGCTTCCAAACACCATGCAGGTAGCCACTAGCCCACACTGCCTTCCTGAATACCATGCCTGAGCAAGCCACCATGTCACCTACGACGATGTCAGGGGAGGGCAGCCTCTCTTCTGGACGGGTCCTGGAGAGCGGCTTCTGCTGAACGCATCGCCTGAGCTCTCCCCACATCTGCGAGTTCATTCATCAAACACCTGCAGAGTGAGCACGGTGCCCCGATCACGTGTGTGCAGGTTTGCTTTAGGCGAGGATGAGGAGGGGGTCCTCAGACGGTGCAGGGCCACGCGGCAGGCCCCCATCCTGGCGGCCAGCCCTGCCGAGAGCATGTCCCAAGACAACTGCAAGGGATGTCCGTCAGTTATACGGAGATGGGGACGGTTCCACATCCAAGAGTTGTTTCAGCCCTGCTAGATTTTCAGTGAAGTTCGTTCACAGGGGACTTCTCGGATCACAAACGTGTTAATACGCTTGGAAAATCTGCGGGAGCGGGCGCAGAACTTGCAGCATGAACCGAACTCCTTCCAACAGCAGCGCCCTTCACTCAGGCACTTCTCCGGAAATCCACAAGATATTCTCTGCAGTCCCCGACTCTTGTGTGTGGTCTCTGAGGGACACCCCCAGGCTGGGAGAGCTGGGTTCCCCTGCTGACCCCATGGGCTCTCTGCTCTCCACGGCCTCATCGTCCGCGCTCCACCCACCCTCCCTGGAAGCTCTAGGCCCTCCTCAGGCCGCATCACCTCCTCCCTCGCCCTCTCCCCATAGCCAGCTTCTCTTTTTGCATAGAAAGAAGGATCTTCTGTTCCTCCTGGTGTTCTCAGTCAATGGTGCCGAAACCTCCTGGCTAGCACAGGGCAGGCTCCCTCCACCCTGGCTGCACCTGACAACCACCCAGCGAACTTCAAATCAAAAGATGCGCCGGCTCCACCCAGCCTAAATTGCTCAGAATCGCCTGAGGCGCTGCCAAGTCTGGGTCTTGCAAACGCTCCCTTGTGCCTCCCTGTGCTGTGGGGGGCTGGGAACCAGCGGTGGTCCGGGGACATCCCTTTCCTGCTGTGTCCCTGCTAGCTCATACATTAGCAACTCCGCCCCCTTTGAAGCATCAGGAAGAATTCCTTCTGCCATCTTGCCCTCTTCTCTGCCTGCGGGAAGCTCACCTGCCCACTGAGATGGAAACTGTCTGCACTCCACTGGCCGTGTTTCCCCAGAGGCAAGACCGGGCATTCAGCATCTCCCCACACCGGGGCCTCTGCTCCGGGATTCCTGGGTTACGCAGCCGGGAGAGGCAAAAGCAGTTTTGGCCCCGGGCCCCAGCCACGTTCTGCACCACGGCCTCCTTTGGCCGGTGTTTCAGCCCCACCTGCCACTGACGTCTCTGCCCCCACTGATTTGGGTCTCAAGAGTCCAGAGGGGTGTGGCTGTCACCCACACAACCCCAACAGGTTGTGACAGGAGAAAGATGGTCACCCCTCAGCTATGATGGATGTGAGACAGACGCAGGAACAGGCCAGGGGGATGCTGCTCTCACCAGAGAGACTGGGTGTGAGAAGTAGCAGGAAGGAACGATTCGGTGGGAGCTCTGAGGAAAACCGCCAAGTCCTGACCCCCTGCACACACTGGAGCTGTCCCTGTCCCCGGTGTTGGACAAGCCGTATCATGGTCAACCCAAGGCTGACCTGGGAGTCACACCTTACCTGCAGCTGTTGGGAGCTGTCTGTTAACGGATCCCACCCAGCAAACAAGAACGGTCACCACCAGAAGGAGTGGCCACTGGGATGCTGGGACACAGGCCAGGAGGGACGCCTGTCTAGGAGGAGAGCCTGAAAAGATGCGGCTTTCTGGGGTGCTAATGATATCCCCAGGGACTGTACTAGTGTCCTAGGGTTCTGGAACAAGCACCACACACTCGGGGGCTTAAAACAACAGAAATTTAGTTCTGGAGAGCAGGAGTCCAAAGTCAAGGTGTCAGGGCTAGGCACAGTGGCTCATGCCTGTAATTCAGCACCTGGGAGGCTGAGGTGGGAGGACCACTTGAGGTCAGGTGTTTGAGACCAGCCTGAGCAAGAGTGAGACCCCGTCTCTACAAAAAATAGAAAAATTAGCCAGGCGTAGTGGTGTACGCCTGTAGACCCAGCTACTTGGGAGGCTGAGGAAGGAGGATGGCTTGAGCCCAGGAGTTTGAGGCTGCAATGAGCTATGATTTGGCCACTGTACTCTAGCCCAGGCAACAGAGCTAGATCCTATATCAAAAAAAAAAAGGAAAAAAAAAAGCATTGGGAGGGTGGTTCCTTCTGGAGGCTCTGAGGGAGGGTGTGTCCCAGGCCTCTGCCCCGGCTCCCGGTGGTCCCTGGCTCGCAGCTGCGTCACTCTAGTCTCTCCCTCTTCTGGAGCATCACGTTCTCCTCTATCTGTGTCTCCTCTTCCCTTACAGAGGAAGTTCTCTCTGGAATCAGAGTCTACTCTAATCCAGGATGATCTCATCTTGGGACTCCGAACTTAATTACATCTGCAAAGACCCTTTCTCCAAAATAAGGTCACATTCACAGATTCCAGGGATTAGGACCTGGACATATGTTTTGGGAGGCCACAATTCAACCCACTGCAAGGGGTCTGCATGCTACTGAGCTGTGTGTGTGCATGGAGCAAAAAGCAGGGGCTACAGCAGACAGGTTTCCCAGGGCTTCTGGAAATCCAGCTGATGCCTCCACCGAAATTCATAAACCAGATAAAGACCATGACCACGGCTTTCCACAGGTCACAGAGATGGGCGCTTCGTACTCTCGGGTGGATTCTGGTGGCCCCATGAATGAGGACAGAAGCATACTGGGGGTCCTGCTGCTCCCCTCCACACGGGAAAAGGCAGTAGCAAGAAGACACAGCTGGGACCACGCAAAGCACTAACCACTGAGGACGTGGCCTGGGCTGGTCTGCACCCGCAAAGCCCAAACCCAGCGTAACCGCGATGCCCTTTCAAACAACAGTGTCCAGGCTTGTCCTGTCTCTTCTGGAAAGAATTCTGCAACAGGAAGCACACGGGTATTTTGGAGCAGGGAATCCAATGGATGTTTCACCCTGAAGAGGAACTCAGAATTCCACACACAAGAGCACCCTGGCGTCACCTGTTGGAGACACTGCATCCCCTCCAAGCCCCCTACAGCTAGGTAGGAATCTGCCTCCGTGTGGCATTTTCACAGAGCAGCGAGACTGGAGGCCCCAGGAAATCCCTGACACGTGGCCTGAGGCTCCGTGATACCCCATGGAATGAGTGTTCCTTCTCATGAGAGCAGTGGCCATTCCCAAACTGTGACTCTTGTCTGCTTCCTAAGCACGGTGCAAGAGTGAGCACGTTGGCCCCTTCCAGGGTGGACAGAGAGTGACAGCTTTAAACCAGCTAAACGGCCCTAGTGGCTAGGAATCACATTCACTTGCCTTTGACATATCTATAAAGAATGGGGACATAACTACCATCCTGGGGCCCAGAAGGGATACTGATTGTTGGAAGTGGCTGTCACCCCCCAGGATCCCAACATTTGCCCCAAAGTCAGTACGAGAGGGGGGCACACTCCCCGCCCCCTTGGGCCTGTAGACACACAGGTGCCCAGGGAACGCCTCCCCACTGCAAAGCCATGGCAGCTCCAGGACACAGAAAAGTCCAGACAACCAGAGAATCCCACCACCAGGCAGAGGGTGGGAGCAGTGTGGATAAGACATGGGCCCACCAGACATAGGCCTGAACAGAAAAGAAAATATCTTTTTGTTCAAAAGAATGAAAGTGGGATCTAACTTAGACAGTAAAGCATCCCTAAATTTTGGCAGAACTAGGGTTTTAGATAAAATGCAGGACACTCAATTAAAATTAAAATCTCAGATAAATAACCAACAATTTTTTTTAATTTAAGTAGGTCCCAAATATTGTGTGGGACACACTTATGCTAAAAATAAAATCCTCTGTTGTCTGAAATTCAAATTTAACTAACTAAGCGGCCTGTATTTTTATTTGGTAATCCTAGGCAGGACCCCAAAGTGTCTGAACAGGGCAAGAGCTCACCTGATGGCTTCTGCGATCCGAGTGCTCTCCTTCCGCCGGTCGCTGGACAACCGGCCGATCAGGTAGGAATAATCCAGGCCGCTGCAGAACACGCTCCCCACGGCGCTGAGCAGCAGCAGTTTGCTGTCGTCTGTGGCCGCGTTGCAGAGCGCGCGCCGGACCTCCTTCATGATCTGCAGGCGGAGATGAGTGTGCAGGGATGTTAAGCGTCTATCCTGTAAGCCGGGGGCTTGAAGACCGAGAAGTCAGCCAGACGCCTGTGCAGGGAGCCTCCCCTGAATACAAGCACACGTCCAGACCAAGGACAGAAACGCTTATCAAAACCCAAGCTGGCCAGCACCATCCCCAGAGCAGGCAGAAGAGTGCTGATGGGGAGGCGGTGTGGTCCCCGGCTCCAGCCCCGGGTGCCTGGCTTGGTCTCTCAACCCCTGGAAAATCTCTGCGAATCTTCTCCTGGCATTTGCTTGCTTAGCCCTTTGTAAGCGTGGGAAAACAGTCCCATGCACAGCCCAGGGGAGGTACATGAGCCTTCTCTAGACGGCTCAGTTTAACTCTACTCAGGCCTCAGCCCAGACCTACGGAGTGAGACTCTGCATTTGCACAGGACCCCAGGGGATTTGTACGCATGTTACGGTTTGAGAAGTGCTGCTTTAACAGATGAACTTGCTTAGCCTTATGAGGGAGTTATACTGTTTAAGTCCCATGTTATTAATGAAGAAATCGAAGCACAGCGAGTCTGCGTGGTTTGCAGGTATGTGGCGGAGCTGGACTTGGACTTAGGAAGTCGTGCTCTGGGGCCCACAGTCTTCCCCATAGGCCAGGTGGCTCTCAAGGTAGCAGGGCCTTTTATCTAAAGCCCTCCGTGTAAGAGCACCCGGCTACAGGAGCGGCAGTCTCTGCTCCACCAGACTGTGGAATTTACGGTGGAGCCAGGGTCTGAAGTTGAGCTCCTGCCACACACATGCTGGGTGCAGAGGCCAAAGTATCACCCGGAAACTCGAAGTCTGGGCTCTGGCTGAACCAACCCCTGCAGCCCTGCACATGCCCTGACACCTTCCAATCACACTCCTGCAGGTGACACTGTCCATCCTGACTACACAGTCTCCCCTGGGTGCCTGGGCTTTCATGATGACTCACGGCAGCGTGGCCAGGCTTTGGAGACGGGAAGTCTATGTCAGAATATGGCTCTACCATTAATGAGCACAGCCCCTCTGGTCCTTCTGCCACCTGTTCACCACACCACAGTCAGAACAAGCTGCTCAAACAATTTATCTTTGGCATAGAAAAAATCTCCCACGAGAACTGAAAACCCCAAGCCTGCCCTATACGTGGATTTGAAGTTCTGAGTTACTTACTATAAGCACATGGGGAGGAATATACAAGTTAAAAAAAATTGACATGGGAATTAGACATGGGCTAGTGATATCTTTGAGGTATCTGATAGAAGAAACAAGTGTAAAAGTACTCTGGAGAGAAACTGCAACGCAGACTGCATGGGATTTATACAGGAAAAGAAAAATCGCTGCTGAAGATGAGCTCACCATCAAAAGTTAGAAAACACTTGAGGAAACACAAGATGGCATACTCAACAAATGAGAGGATTATATAACATGACTTCAAGTAAAAGAATGATCTAAAAAAGACTGTGATATAAGAATGTTTAAAATAATCAGAGAGGAAAGGAGACATATCAACAATAAGGAAAGAATAAGAGAGTATGGAGAAAAATCGATTTGACGGGAAAAAGAAACTTCTCAAAATGAAAAACAATGTCATGGACGTCTGCTGAGATTAACAGCAGATTAGATGGAGCTAAAGGCAGAATAAGTAAACTGAAAGATAGGAAGCAATTGCCCCAAACATAGCACAGAAAACAGAGACTGAAAATATGAATCAGAGGTTAAAGACAAGAATGATAAGACAAGAAGATTTAAAATAGGTGCTTTAGGAATTCTATCAGGAATTGACAGAGAACAGGGGAAAGGCAGAATCTAAAGAGATAAAGGGTGAGAATTTTACAGAATTGATGAAAGACGCATTTGTTTCCTATGGCTAATATAAAAAGCTACCACGAACTTAGTAGCTTAAAACAGCACAAATGTATCACTTTATAGTTCTGTAGGTCAGAAGTCTGATGCGGGTTTACTGGGTGAAATCAAGTTGTCAGCAGGGCTGTTCCCATCTGGAGGCTCTAAGGGAAAATCCGTTTCCCTGCCTTTTCCAGCTTCTGGAGGCCGCCCACATTCCTGGGTTCATGGGCCCTTCCTCCACCTTCACAAGCAGCAATGGCCAGTGAGTCTCTCTCACCTTCTTACTTTGTTATCACTCGAGCACCGACTATTCTCTTCTACATTGAAAGACCCTCATGATTATATTAAGCCCATTCAGATAATCTAGGATAACCGCTTTATTTTAAGGTCAGATGATTAGCAACCTTAATTGCATCTGAAATCTTAATTCCCCTTTGCCATGTAACCTAAGATATTCATAGGTCCTAGGGATTAGGAGATGAACATCTTTGGGGACAGGAGGAAATTATTCTACCTACCACAGAACTGAATCCTTAAATTCAAAAACAACGAAAAGCTAAGCAGAAGAAATAACAATAAATACATGCATAGACATATCGTCTTTAAACTTCAGAACATCAAAGACAAAACAAAACCTTAAATACTTCCAGAGGCAGAAGCGTATCCAACATAGGGCAAACATTCAACTGGAAGCATAATTCCAAACAGCAGAAACGAATGCCAGATGGTAACAGAATAAAACTTTCAAAGTACTCAGGAAAATGACCATCAAAAAAAATTCTTCACCTAGCTAAACTATCAAGCAAAAGCCAAGGTAAAAATTAGGCGTCTTCAGCAAAAGAATGCTTACCACTCTTAGACCCTCACTAAAAGCACTAAAGAAAGCATGTACTTCGAGAAAAGAAAACTACATTCAGAAAGAAAAACTGATGTGCGAGGAATAATAGCTAGCAAAGAAATCAGTGAATGTTATTGTTAAATCAATATGAGAACGGACTATAAAAATCGTAATACTGACATGGACTAATCTGAGGGTGGCAGCTTGCACAAGGCAGAACTCTAGCAGTGGGCAATAATATTGTGCAACGTTCTCACAAAGGAATGACTAGAGGCAGAGCATGTCAAGGTTATATGTCTAGAAGTGGTATGGAGAAATGATTACATGTAGACTTTGCTGTGTGTACATGACTTAAGGAAACTTCTTAAAAATACGTGCATTACAATGGATGAGGGGATAAAATAAAGTACACGGTAACAGAAAACAAGGCGTGGCACTTGCTTGGGTGAAGCTTAGAGTCTAATGGGGGAGACAATACATGAACAAGCTTTTGCAGGGTCATTATTAATGATTTAATAGACATAATCATAGGGTGCAGGTGGGGGAGAGATTATGAGAGTATTAGCTTTTATCTTATACTTTTAAAAGAACTCCCATTTGTCAAGCAACCTAGCAGTGCGAGGGATTGAATCAGGTAATTTCCACATAATATTTGATTCCAGACAAAAATCTGGCAAGGTAGGGAATGGTATCTCAATCTTGCAGGGGAAGCAGTGAAGACTCAGAGAGGTGCAGGAAGCTACCCAAGGTCACACCAGCAGTAACAGGCAGGACCACGATTCAAATCTCACACCGACGCCCCTTCACTTTCTAATACTCCATAATAAATGGACAAATGCTAGTGGAAAAAACAGAACCAGAGATCAATCAGAATTGAGAACCTCCAGGCCCGTGCGCTGTTGGAAGGATGGGAGAAGCACATTCCATGTTAACAGGGTATAAGCCACAGATATTCATTTTGAACATCAAAAAAGCTAACAGGCCACTATCTTGTGGGTCCTTTAATCCATCTGCCTCCAGAAATAGATACACTCTCACCTATATATGAACTCTATTTCTCTGAGAGGCAGATAAAAAAAAAAAAAAAAACCCTGCTGTAAAGAGATGAACTGCAAACCTATGTATGACTCAGCGAGCAGCCTGAGGCCTCACTTGTCAATTAGTAAAAACAGGAACCAAAAAGCAGCCATCTCTGTTATGAATTAAACTGAAAATAAATGTGTGTTGTATTGATACAACAAAAGTACAAACTACATTTTTATTTATTTAGAAAAAGTTACATTTATTTAGTGTGTCTTTCCTTTGCCTTTCTGGTATGGAGAATTCAATTTGGACAGATGGCTGAGGTTCCACCTTCTTGAAGGACCCCAGATTTTATACTGTAACTGGGTTTGTTCAAAGTAAAATGTTCTAAAACTACTCCACACTCAGCCTCCTTAAACAGAACAATGGCATGCACATAACTACCTCTCCATGGTCACTCGTTGGCCTATAACAGGTCAATCCCCCTTAGAGGCTTCTAGAGTGTGATTCTACAATGAATAGTCCCAAATCACTATGCACCTTGAAGTCCTAAATCCGTCCTTTAAATTCACTGCCCTGGTCATGCACTTTCTAGCTGCCACTTGCACCTGCTGTTCGTGTCTGCTAGAGAGAGCACACACACCGCTATGACTTCTAGCTTCGGATCTGCTAGAACCAGATAACCAAATTCATTTGAATTTAGTATAAAAGAAGAATAAACCAGGATCCCTCTTGGTATTTCATCTGTACTTGCTGAAATCCAGTCGCTCCAGGCCCATCTCAAACACAACCACCTTCGAGAGAGATTCCCCCAAATCCCCGACAAGATGCACACTCTCCCTTCTCCCAACAGCCCAGATACTTTATCCTTGCTGTGATGCTTGTGACAAACGCCCTTTCAGAATGTGTACCTCCTTCCCACATCCTGCCTCCTATGTGATTTAAATCTCTGCAGTACGCAGCCTTTGAGACGGGTCCGCTGACCCCTTCCTCCTGCCACTCACGCGCTTCTGCGATTCTCTCTACCCTTGCGGGAGGACTGGACCTAGAGCCCGGCTTCCAACCAACAGAAGATGCCACCGTGATGGGATGTCACTTGAGATTAGGTTACGAAAGGACTGTAGCTTCTGTCTGGGCCATCCTCTCTGGCTGTCTCCCTTTCTCGGAGCTTTTGCTCTGGGGGAAGGAAGCGGCCATGTCTTGAGTAGCCCTAAGGAGAAGCCCACGTGGCAGAAAACAGACGTGTCCGGCCCATGAGGACTGAGGCCTGCCAGCCACCATG